GGACTGGTGGCGGGGTGGGGGGGGAAGGGCGGAGGTGTGAACATTTCCACTGCAATTTCTTTTTTCTAAAGGAGAGGGTCCAAAGGGGCATTCCTGTCAACCATCACCAGCTCCAAATATGGACAGGCTACGTAGGTTGCTATTTTTATGAGTGATTTTTTTCTTGTTATCAAAGCAGCATCGGGGGCTTGGAGTTCGTGTTAATGTAGTCAGTAGGGGAGGGAGACTCGCGCACGTTATTTTAAAGTACGTCAGAGCAGCTATCGCTGGGCGATGTCAAATGAGTTGGGGGGAGGGGGAGGGAAGGGTAGTTAACCCCAACAACGTGCGTTTGCTGGAGTTCAAGGACGAAGAGTTAAGAGTTGTTTGCGGAGGGCAAAACAGATGACGCTGTTTTCGGTTGAATTTGCAATCAGAACCTGGGTTTTAATGTGAGGTTTCTTAGGAATAGTCTACAGAGGCGCGTACACGCCTAATAGAACCGTCCAGACTTCTGGGGGAATGCTGAGGGCTGCGGGTGCAAGGATCACTGGGACGCTACAAAATTCTGGTAGTTCGTTCAAACCTGGGTACTAGTCAAGGCTGGCTTGGGGACCCCCAGATGCTCAAAACAGGGCGTGGGGGAGAAAGCCTACTTGTGAGGTCATATGACAGATTAAAATAATAATCATAAAGCAATAATCCTAACTGCCCTTCCTTGTTGCGCCCTAGGCGCCCAGAGAGGGGGGTTATGCAAATGGTTCCCCGGTGGCAGCCTCTCGGATGAGTCACAGGTGTTTGGGAGGCTGCCGCGGGGTTCTCCAAGGGGAGGGCGGGCTGGGAAGCGCGTGGGAGGTGGGGGACCTCGGCTGAGGAACTGCTTGTACTTTTCCGGGAAGGATGTGATTAGAAGTCGTGTCTTGCAGTGTTGAAACTTGGACTCTTTTAGGCAATGGAAAATCCTTGTCTCCACCCCTCCCTTCTCCATCCCCAACTCTCTCTCTCTCTCTCTCTCTCTCTCTCTCTCTCTCTCTCTCACACACACACACACACACACACACACACACACACACACTCACTTGCTGGCTTGAGAACCAAGCTTAGCCTTTTAATTGCTCACTATAAGAGGGAGAGGGAGTAGAGTGGGAGGGAAGGAGGGAGGGGGAGAGGGAGAGAGACAATAAGAATAAATCTCAGGAAAGGAGGAAAGCAGAGTTGTAAAAGGGTTGGGGAGGATAGAGCAAGCAGATCTATAAAAATTTAATAAAGGATGCCTTTAATTGAAATAAATAGAAGGCATTGTTTCATAAAGATTCCCTGACCCAAAGGGTATTTGAAATATTAATGTTTTCAATAATAATTAACAAATAATGTTTGAATTTTTATTAAAACTGGATTCCTAAAATAAGGCATGCTGCTAAAATTTGTTTGCTTAAATATTCATTAAACATTTAAGATTCTTAGACAATAAAGAACAAAACCTGCAAGGTCCTTAGACACGTAATGGCTAATAAAACTTCTAGTTATAGTTCTTACTTTCATTATGAAGCAAACTGGAATGGGTGAAGTGGCCAATACAATGTTACTACAACATCCCTTATAGTCAGGATTTTTTCCCCCTAAAATTTGTCGCTTTTTTGACATGTGGAAGCTTGGGGGGAATAAGCCTGCAGTGGGGGAGAAATAAAACATATTTATGGCCCTCAGATTGAAAGTTTTGTGAAGGAATGGAGGAGGTGGGGGATTTTCCAGAATTAAAAAAAAAAAAGTAACTACGTCAGTGATGTATTTTCATCCTGCAGGCAAAAGATGTATGGCAGTCACCGGGGAGAACTGGCTCGGTATTCTGAGTTTTTAACTGCTGATGCCCCACACTGACATCTTTAAAAATTACAGATAAGAGGAGAGAGGCGGATTCAAAGCATCACAGAAAATACTACAGGCCTTACAGGATTATCTCATGGTGGCTGCAGCATTTTGCATCCTCCTGTGCTTGTGTTAAAAATGTGAGAGGTTCTTTATCTTGTTCTGGGAGAGGGAGCAAGCTAATTTGAGAAACATAAACATTGGATAAGTATAAGTCTACTAAGGATGACCAGATAGCTCTAAATCTATTTTTTAACATAATGAGTCTTTATTATATTTAATATAATGAGTCTTTCTCTTGCCTTGGAGAGAATGCTTGTTTAAAAAAAAATCCATAGTCATTCTTGCCATTAGGGAACCAGCAGATTCATGTTATTCAGGGTCTATAAAGCCCTAAATCCTACAGAGAAGGAAGGTGATGAAAAATTTGCTCAGAAATGATTCAGCTGCCTGTGAGTTATTTCTACAAAGAACCAGCATGCAGAGTAACTAATGCTTAGGAACTCATTTGATGAGTAATGAGAAAATTACCTGCTCTGCTGGATGGATATTTACACTATGCTAATTCAGTCTCTGAAAGCTTTTTTCTGGTATACCATGCCCCAAAGTAATATAGCTTTAGGTCCAAAATATTTAACTGGTATTTCCCAGTTAAGGTGCAAGATTCACAGTTGAATCAATAATTACATCTTTATGAAGAAGAACAATAAAATATATAATTTGTAAAATACTGTACGATCTCTCCAAAGTCAATTTGAAAGTAGTTTAGAAAGAGCCCAACTCAGAAACCCCCTCTCCAAGGTCCTCCTTTGGAGCATGCCTAGTACCCTGTGACAATATTTCAACACGGTGAGGGCATAGGATTGGGCAGAAGAATATAAAATTTAACAGATCAACTGTTTTGATTCCTTGGTTTGCTTTCCACATGGCTTGTTTGCCTCTTTCTCTTTATAGTTCTTCCATCCTTTACCCCAGTCCCCACCCCATTTATTGATAATGACCTAATAGCACCCATCAAAAGCATAAATGCTTTAGATACAAACTCCCCAGGTTGTCTCTGTTCCCTGAAGCCTCTGAGGTAGGGACATATCTTGTGAGAGGTAGAAAGACCACCAGGAATATTTGTTTCTGTTTCTGGCTTGTTGTGTTGAGGAAAAAAAATAAGATGGCACACCCAGAATTTTAAATAACACTTCGTTCTTTACTAAGAACTTCATGGTAGGAAGGAAGGAGAAGAGTGCTCAGCAGCCAGGTGCTTCCACATTTCTGTTCCTTAATGCATCAAATTATAGGCTTTTATACAGGGATGCATCTGAGGACCACTGTGATGCTGAAACATGCCTGTGGTCAAGTAGGAGGGAAGAACCATGTGACATTTAGGGATAGAGGGAAAGAGGAAATAGTAGCCAAAATGAGCAAACCTCAAAAAGGCTCTTTGAAAGGGATCACAGCATTCCTTCAATAAGTCTTTTGGAATATTATTAGCTCTGTATCCTCTCTGTACCTCAGTTATCTCAGAGGTAAAATGAGGACAAGGAAACTGTGAAGTAATTTAAATCATCATGTCTGTCATGATGAAATATTGGTTAAGTAAGGTAAATATATCAATTTGATGAGATTTTTAACATTCTCTAAGTAATGATGTGTGACTGCTTTAATATGGAGGGTAATTTTTGTTGTTGTTAGCTACTAACTAGATATGTATCATTTAATGGCTCTGGACCTTGGTTTCTTCATCTGTATTAACTTAGCTGCCATTTGCTTAGCACTGGAATATATTGGAATTTAGGTGAAACAGAGGAGGGCATTCAGAATTAGGTTTAACAACCTGACCAAGGGCACAGCTAATATATGGTATGGCTGGAATTTGAACAGCAGTGTCCAAGTTCATAATCACTATGCTTTAGTGTGGACCCTTCCAGCCCCTCAGACTCATCCCCTCTATATTAGCTAGAATTCTCCAGAGAAACAGAACCAATAAAATTTCTCTCCCCCTCTTTTCTCTCTGTATATACAAAGAAGTTTATTATAAGGAATTGGCTCATGTGATTATGGAGACAGGCAAGTCTCAAGATCTGCAGGGTGAGTGGGCAAGCTGGAGACCCAGGAGAGCTGATGGTGTCGTTCCAGTCCAAAGGCCAGCAGGCTCAAGACCCAGGAAGAGCATTTGTTTCCGTTTGAATCTGAAGGAAAAAGCCAGTGTTCCAGTTTAAAGGCTGTCAGGCAAGAGGAACTTTCTCTTGCCTTGGGGGAGAATCAGCCTTTTTGTTCTATTTAGGCCTTTAGCTGACTGGATGAGGCCCACCATATTAGGGAGGGCAATCTGTT